CTGGGGATTTAGCTCAGTGGCATAAGTGCCTGCCTTGAAAGCAGGCAGTCGTGAGTTCAATCCCTGGTACCGATAAAAATGAAAAAGACACACACAAAAAAAGTTTCTGCGCATCAAAAGAAATCTCTAGCACAGTGAAAAGAAACCTACAAACTGGGAAACAATCTTAGTGAACTGTCCCTCAGACAAAGGACTTCTGTCTAAAACATATAAAGAATTAAAAAAAAAATCAGACCCCCAAAATTCAAGGATCCAATCCAAAAATGGGCATCTGAGATGAATACACAATTCTCAGATGAAGAAATACAAACGGCAAATAACTACATCAAAAAATATTCATCATCATTACTCATTAGAGAAATACAAATGAAAACCACACTGAGATTTCATCTCACTCCTGAAAGAATGGCGAGGATCAAGAAAACTACCAACAACAAACGTAGAGAGGCTGTGGGGAAAAAGGAACTCTCCTGCACTGTTGGTGGAGTGTAGACTGGTATAACCATTATGGAAAACACTCTGGAGATTTCTCAGAAAGCTGGGATTGGAAGTCCTATTCCACTTTTAGGCACAGTCCCAGAAGAACTGAAAACATCGTATCACAGTGATATATGTACACCCATGTTTATAGCAGCACAATTTGTAATAGCCAGATCTTGGAAACAGCCTAAGTGTCCATCAACTGAGGAATGGATTAAAAAGTTGTGGTAGTGTCTCCTGAGATCCACGCCATGTTGGAACTTAGGACTCTGGGAAGCCAAGCCAGCACCTCCCCTCCCTGGTAAGCGGAGGCAGGCTGGCAGACTGCAGCCCTTCCAGGGGGAGAACTAGCAGTGTCTCCTGAAATCCACGCCATGTTGTAACTGAGGACGCAGTGAAAACAAATGACCATTCTCCCTCCCTGCTTAGCAATAGTGAACCTACGGCTACATGGCCTAGAGTCAAATATCCCACTTCCCCTATCCTCCTTCTCCTCCCCCTCCCCGTCCATTAGCAAGTGGGAACCAGAAATCTGAGCATCTCCTGGGAGGTTGACCATAGCAAATAAGGGGGACTTCCTTCTACCATTTCTTTGAAGGCAAATATTTTTATTACTGTTATGCTCTTTTCTGATTAGTGGTACTGCTCTATTCAATATTCTGTTTTGATAAGTTCTATAGTGTTCTATATTTCACCTCATTTTGATATACGGGATTGAAAGAACAACTATTATAAAGATAACAAAATATACTGTGATACCTATTACTGTTATCCTGGTAACCTGCTGTGAAGTTCTGTACCAATTTCACTGTACGATCTTAGTTGGCTTTATTCTGACTTATTCTGTTGTATACTTTCAAAATAAAAATTTTTAAAAAAAAGTTGTGGTATTTTTACACAATGGAGTACTACTCAGCTATAAAGAATGATCACATTGAGATATTTATAAATAAATGGATGCAGCTTGAGACCATACTCATAAGCAAAATAAATCAAACTCACATGTATAAACCGAATAGTTTCCCTAGTGTAAGAAATGGTAAGAATACATAAAAGTATATGGTAATCATGATTCCCCATTGTATTGCTTTGAAGCCTTATAATGTTTTCATTCATTAAGTGGAATGGTTTTATTCTGGATTGTTTGATTTTATTGTCTATGATGGTATGAACAGCTATTCTGAAGAAAACAAGATATTATAATAGCTAGTGATGATTTAATATCATCATTTTTTGAAGTCCCACCAAGCTTATGTTCTTCTGTCTCTATCGGTTTTACCATGTTGTATCTTACTGGATTTTATTATATGTGATCGTATAAACAAAATTTTTTATAGACAAGGAGATAATATAGTAACCATTGTTCCTTTTCTGTTAGTTGTCCCTGAATACCTTGTAATACTTTTATTCTCTTGAATGGTTTTACACTGTCTTTTTATGTTTGATACTATAGTATATCAAGGTATTCTCAAATATTTCAAGGAAAGAGACACTATAGAAGCTACTGTTATGTCAAATTGTCTTGTGGTGAAACACTGTGTTGCTTAAATGTTCTGACCTGTGTTGCTATGCTTCTTTTATATTAATCTTTTTTTTAAATAAATAAAAAAAACAACGAATGGCCAATGTTGGGCAAATAAACTAACAGAAGTTTCTAAAGTATCTTCTGAATCATTAAAGAAGTTTTAAATAAAATTCTTCGATTATTAACTGTATTTTAATATATCACTATTTTTTTTGAAAATGAAAGACATTGATTTCAATTTTAATTCCTGTAAGGAAAAAAGTTCAGAGTGCATAATCTTCAAAATATCTTTTTTTAAGTTTTCCTAATATTATCAACAAAAGACTTTCAGCTTGTTCAAAATAATAGCTGTTCCCTCCTTGAACTACTGCAACAATAAAACATATTCAGTTAAGTTTTCTGAGAATGGCTGAAGTGTACAACTATAAATACAACTTAACAGGGCACTAGGTCTTGAGAAATATTTCTGGGAGCATGTACAATGTGGGCAGAATATGTCTGTAATCCTACTTTTTCAACAAAACAATTAACAATATAAAATACTATTAATTATGAATATCAGATCTTTGAAACTGTCTGAAATATAAGGTAAAAGGAAACAGACTACCACATTCAACTTGTGCTTCAACTATTTAGAACAATTTTCTTCCAGACAATTTAGGTGTACTGCTGCTCAATTATATATGTAAAGAAACATGGCCATTTTGCTTGGCAAAAGGAGCATTAATATTTTAGAAACTTTTTATAGTCTCATATATTACTGGCTAATGTCAGCAAACAGCTGAACCTAATTCACAGGCTAATAACAGCAAGTCATGATCAAAAAAACTATCCTAACTTCAGTTATTAAGAGTTCTTCTTCCCTGTCTCATTAAGCAGGACATTCAAGATCAATGTATTTGCAGATTTCTTCTACAATATCTAAAGATGATGTTACATGACATCATCCTAAACAGGTAAACTAAGTAATATCCTAGAAAGATAACATAGGTCAGTAGTATATGTCTATAATTCAGCTTCTTCAACGAAGTGAATAGCAATAAAAACACTATAATGGTAAACATGACATGCTTGACACTGTCAGAAATACAAGGCAAAAGGAAACACAGAATACTACCCAAACAGTAAGAGGGTAAAGCTTTGTTTCCACAAGACAGTAAAGCATTCTTGCGTGCCCCTGCCAAAACCAGAGCTCTTGGTAGTGAGGTCTCTTGGTGAATATCATTAGGCAGTAATCCAAAAACATTTCAAATGAATTAAGGAACCACTTCAATAAAAACTAACATAATTACATTTTAGACGTTTATGATAGGCTGCCAAATATTTTAAAATATTTACAGGACTTTCCTAGAATACATATTAACTAAATCTGAGTTTCTGTGGGGGGAAAAAACTGAAATTGAAAGCAAAATAAGAAAACTCTAAGCATCTCTGATTCTGAGACTATATGAGATCTGAAGAAAAAGCCAGATATGACTTATAATAACATCTGTACTACACTTGTTATTTAAACACTATTGGGAAATTCTTCAACCTCACACAAAGGAAGTTTCAGATAAATACAATCAGCACCAGCTTTTAAAATACAAAAAGCATATAAACTAAAACAAATTCCTTAGAAAGCAGTGGTTTGTAACACAAAATAATTCTTCATATTATGCAATAATTCAACTCAAGTTTCCTGGGTATCGTAGGTTCATTAGAAACTAATTTGTAAAAAAAAAAAATTTTTTTGTATGTTTAAATCTAGCTATAGACAACTTTGATTTAGTACTTTTTATACCTAAAGCAGCAATATATCTTTTAATCTCTACAATTAATGAAAAAAATTAAAGAAATTAAAAATAAGTATCTCTGTCTAAGATTAAAAATAAATCACAAAGTCAGATGTGGTGGCACATGCCTGTAATCCCAGCACGCAGGAGACTGAGGCAGGAGGCCCACTGCAAATATGAGACAAGCCTGAGCTACAAAGTGAATTCAAAGTCAGTCTGAACTGCAGAGTGAGACACTGTCTCAAAAAAGACAAAAATGGGTCTGGGGATTTAGCTCAGCGGCATAAGTGCTTGTCTTAAAAGCAGGCAGTCATGAGTTCAATCCCCAGTACCGATTAAAAAAAAAAAAAAAGACAAAAATAAATAAATCATAGAACTCAGCACAAAATTCAATTTTTGGAATGTCTATACACAAAAACACAGCGAATGGCAGTATCAAAACTAATTAGGGGCCAGGCATGGTGGCTCCTGCCTGTAATCCCAGTACTCAGCAGGATTGCCACAAATTCAAGGCCAGCTTAGTGTTCAAGGCCAGCCTGGACTGTGTGGTGAGACCTTGTCTTAAAAAATAAATAAGTAAATAAAAATTAAAAACAACTCAATAAAAGACTCGGAGAAATATTTGCTTAAAAACACAGACTTGAAGATGGACCAATTTTGAGAACACGTAAGCCAAAACATAAAAGTCCTCTGGCTCTGATCATGTAAATTAAATAAAGTTATTCTTGGGCATTTTGTTGCCATGAGGACAATAAAAAGAAAAAATAGCCATGCAAATTTCAAAATTAATTTTCTTTTTTTTTTTTTTTTTTTTTGTCTTTTTTATTTTTGTCGGTACCGGGGATTGAACTCACGACCGCCTGCTTGCAAGGCAGGTACTTATGCCGCTGAGCTAAATCCCCAGCCCCCTTAATTTTCCCTAAAAAAAAAAAAAGAATAGGTTCAGGCCAGGGGTTTAGATCAGTGGCACGAGAACTTGCCTGGCAAATGTGAGGTCATGAGTTCGATCCCTGATACAAAAAAAAAAAAAAAAAAAAAGAAGAAGCTGAACATTAGAGCCAATGTCCACTAAAACAAATATGTATGTATGTATATAAATGACATTTTTGTACATTAATCACACATAAACCATCCGAAGCAGTTTGAATAAAGAAAAATTAAAAGAATGAAAAGGTAGGTTGCTCAGTTTCAAAACTTCAGTAAAATCACAAGGTACTTACCAGGACAAACAGTGATTTCTTCTGCAGAACTCTCTGGCATAAGGAGCAAGCTTTTCTTACTGGTCAAAGTAGCAATGCTGAAAAAGAACCAAACTCCAAGTGAATCCACAATAAATCTAAACACAGTGCCAAAAGCAACGGTGAGTCATTTACAAACCCACAGGTAATCTGATACCTGCTGTCCAACACCACAAAAGCACAACAGGGAACAAGGAAGCAGTAGTGAAAACGCCAGGCCAGAAATAGGGAAAATAAACATGCTTACAACTTCATTTCTAGTGAAATTACTGACTGAAAAGAAACCTCTTTTTGGAGTCTACATAAAAGAAGGCTGAAGGGTAAGAACTATCTGTGAATATCACAGAAGACAAAAAAACTCCATTCCAATATAAAAATGTCAAAGGTATTTTATCGCCTGTCTCAGCTTTCTGAAGCCTAGAAATGTATAAATTTCTAAGAGAAGACATGGAGATACTCCTGACAGTACCCTAGCTTTTCCTTCACCTTGCAGTTAAATTTCCTCTTTATTCCAAGATGTAACTTTCCAAACAACAAAAATAAAGTATCATTTCAAACTGTCCTACAGCAAAAATTTGCCCACACAAGTTGAATAACTTTTCTGAGGAAAACTTAAGGGCTTCCCACATTTATTTTCAACTATCCCTTCCTATTCATGGAATGTTACTACTTCCTGACACAGGGCTAATAAGAGATCTGAGACTGTGAACTAGCCCCTCATGCTTCACAAGCTCTATGATTAGTTTGATCAAGTATGCAAGATGACACTTAAAAAATACAAACTCTCATATCAACAAAGAACCACAGAGAAAAGAGAAGAGCCACCACTAACTCATAAATAACTAAATCCTGACAGAAAGCCACAAGTGATTTCTCTTTCTAAATAAAATATCTGATAGCACATGTTATAAACTCAAGCCAGACGCAGTTTAGTCTACATGTAACATTAGAACTCTATTCAAAGGGACAATCACAAAACAATTTGCTGACACTTATAAAATGAGCTAATCTATTTGAAGTTAAACCACACTGCCTGCAATTTCAGCTTTATCCTGGTGACAAAGCATATGATCATTTATTAAACCTACATCTGCTCTGCATAGGCTCACCACAATAAAACAGAGAAGTCTACAGGGAACAGAAGGTCCACTCCAGAAACTCTTCCAAACTGTCATTAACAACAAGAGAATCAAAGCCATTTTCTTCAGCTCAGGAAGAAATACCTAATACTATCTACCAAAAGCCTAAGAAAGAATATCATTTAAATTATAACAAATGGCAACTGGACCTCAGCTTCCTCAGCTTTGAGAGATGACAGTCATCTCCCAAAAAACTGAGCTTTTATGAAATCCCCAGAATTATTAAATGATTGAAAACCTTCATGCAGTTTAAAATTAATCACTATTTACTATCACAGTAAGAAGACAGAGAAGATAACCTCATAAACAAATTAGAAAAATAATATAGGAATACAAGTATAACCATTTCTAGGAAAGATGAGTACAAATAGATTATGGCACAACTCAAAAAGTGAGAATAGCACAAATCTGTATGGCATGACTATGAAAGCTTCAGAGCATATAATCTTAAAAGTAGACTTAACAGGTTTATAAAGCTTAGAAACATAGATAAAATAAGCATAAACAGAGGGAATAAAAGGAGAAAAGGAATAAAGGAATAGAACCATGAAGAAATCAGTAGAGACATTAGATTGGCAGAGAAAGTTAGTGTAATTTAAAAAATAGCCAAAATGATTGCTTCTCAGGAATAAAGTGTATCAGACTATGTCAAGATGCCTAAAAAAGATTTAAAAAAAAACAACCCTCTGAGATCTATTCAATATTGTAGGCTTCTATAACACACATATTGGAGAATTTGGAGATAACAATTTCTCATAGTCAGTGTTTATAGAAGATCTAAAAGTTCTCTGGCAAGTTGTCTAGGCACAGTTGCACCCACGTAGTGTCATCCTCTTTATGTTGGTACCATCAGAGGAGAATTGAGATTCACAGCAACATATAATCTCACCTTTGTGAACCAGGCACAGAGTTGCCTTCTTCAGAAGTTTCTTCAACAAACAGCCCTTGGGAAGACTGCAAAGAAACATAAATATCTTAAATATGCAGGAACAGATGAATTAGTTTCTCTTCCTTTAAAAATATTAACTGTTCAATGTCACTGCTCGGCAATTAGAATAAGAACATAAAATTTACATGAGCCCTTATGTTTCAGTAAAAACAGTGTACCCTTTGTGGAGTCAGACTGGCATTTAAACATCTAAATCACCAACTTTGTAATTTTGTGTAAGTCTTATTTGAATCTCTTTTTCTTAACAGAGGTATTAACAAAGTGCCTGACAAACTATTACTGTGAGGATTAAACATTATATGCAATACACTTTGTAAAACACAAGGCCTGTATCAATATTGATTGGTAAGTCAAGTGAGTTATGATTTCAGAAAAGTAATTATAAAGCTTTTTTGTAGAAGGCAGAAACACAGAGAGAAGGCCAGTTTTCAATGGAAATACAGAGCTGGAAAACACTTCAGCCCATGAAAATCTCTCAGAGCACATCCAAGATAAAACAAAGAATATTCCAAAGGAAAAGTTACAAAGATTTTTTGCTGCAAATCTGCCACTGCAGTTTTTCAATCTGACCACACCAGTACCTTTTAAGAAATGCAAAGACACTTGGTCTGGTAGCACATGTCTGTAATCCTGGCACTCAGAAGGTTAAGGTAAGAGGATCACCATGATTTCCAGGCTAGCCTGTCTACAGAATGAGTTCAAGCCAACCTTAACTTCATACTGAAACCGTATTGAAAAAAATTGAATGAATGAAAGCTGCAACAATAAGGACTGTATAAGACAAAGATTATTTCCATTGATTCATAGTAGAGTTAGTGCAATATCAACTCATTAAATGCAGACACAGAGAAAGGCAGGCATGTAAAAGCAGCTTATTACTTAAAAAATGGACTTGAGAAAGTGCCTTGGCTGTGACGCAGCTTCCAATAAATGTAAAAGCTACCAGCCAAAGTTTTCAGTACTTCCCAGTAGAGTATTAAAAAAATCTAAACAAGCAGTCATTTTTCTACCACTCAGGTAAATGATAAGATACACTTAAAAAGGGGAGAGAGCACTGAACTGAGTCTTCTGTCAAAAAGTAGGTAAAGTTGTGCAATGACCAGGAATGTAATCATCAGGAAAAATGAGAGTTGAACAAAACTGTGAAAAAGACTAAAATATAACAACAATAATTACTTCACAAGACTGAACTCTACAGTGTTTTTAAAACCTCAAAAAAGGTAGACACTGACATCTAGTGTTCATTTAATAGAATTCTGTGGACAGACCTCAAAAGTAATTATGAGATACACTAATAGTTATAAGACACCTCCATCTCTACTTTACGTTAATTAAAGCACATTTTAAACTTTCCCAGGATAGCTGTTCAATAATTATTGTGCACATACTGTCAGGGCTATGCAAATCATTTTCATGCATTATCTCCTTTAACTTCATAAGAATCTTACAAGGCAAAAAAAAAAAAAAAAACCCTATTTAAAATTTTAGAAATAAGGAAAATGAAATTTCGAGAGGCTAAATAATTGCCCAAAATCACATAAATGATAAAAAGAGAAGTTGGGATCTATCTGATCCCCAAATCCATCCTCTAAGCACTATGATGTTTTCACAAATGATCCTCTTCCCAATCATTTCAATAAGGAATCCCAAGAAAATCTTCATTTAGTAAACTTTTTAATTTTCTAAATTCACACCTCAATGGTAGTAATTTTATTTTTAGGATTAAAGTGAGAGTCTTCCAGAATATGAAAATACAGCAAAATATGCTAAGAAAATGAGACTAGACTACCTAAATCTAAGTAAAATGAACAGGAAAACTTATGAGGAAGAGGTAGCCTAACTGAATGAAACACTACATTCTGCCCGAAGAAATATGTTCATGGAAAAGTTCACACTGAATCTATTGCTTTTTTTGGTCTTTTTCCTTTTTATCAGTACCAGGGATCGAACTCACGACTGCCTGCTTGCAAGGCAGGCACTTATGCCGCTGAGCTAAATCCCCAGCCCTGTTCACACTGAATCTAAGAAAAATCTAAAGCTCTAGGCTCAAGTAGTGTCTTTAGCACAGTGGCCTAGAAAGTGACTAAACCATCAGCTGGTCATTACAAAATGGTAGTGGTAGTTTATCAGGCCCTTCCACAGACTAGTCAAACTCCACTGAAAGTTTCCATATTCTGATTACTATTTCAACTTGCCAGGTACATTCATTCTAGAAAAAATGGTATACAGTGGATTTGTGTATTCTGGTCACTGAAAATGTTTCTATTCCATAGTAAATTAAATAAATATAGACATAGATACAGGTATAGATATAGATAAGCCTGAGCTATACATATATAGTTCAGCTTGATGTTTAGGTAGTAAAAAGTCAACTCTCGAAATTCTGCAGTCTGGTCATTTCTGGCAAACAAGTTTTAGCTTCCTGACTGAAAAATTAATGATCAGAATGAAAAACAAACAACCACAATCAACACCTTCCTGCCATAACACCATCAAAGTGATCTCCTGGCCTTTATTAACAATTTTCCTTGTCTCACAGATGCCAGAAACAAGTTATCATCTCATCCTACAGTTTTAGTAACCTCATTACAGATTAATCTGACCCAACGTGTGTTTCTGACTCTCAATTTCTGGAACTCTCTTACTATCTCTGTCAATGAAGGAATCGCTAATGTGGGCAGTTACAGCGAAGCCATGAACAACAGGAAAAAAAAAAAAGTTTTTAAACAGAAAATGTTTAACAAACCCATGAATTTTTCCACCTAACATTCCTGGGAGCAAAAGATCAGTATGAGAGGTAAATCACAATCACAAGATTTTCATCATTTGCCTATAATGTAGACACATTTCTCTGTACTTTAAAGGCACTACTCTGTTGGCAAGGCTGTGGTGAAGCATGCATTCTCATACATTGTCACAGAGTGAATGCAAATTTGGAAAGTCTTTGTGAAAAATAACTTGGCAATAAATAGTATATATATTTTTTTGTTTGTGTTTTGTTTTGTTTTTTGTCTTTTTTGAGACAGAGTTTCACTATGCGGTTCAGTTTGGCCTTGAACTCACTTTGCAACCTAGGCTGGTCTCAAACTTGTAGCAATCCTCCTGTTTTAGCCTCTCGAATGCTGGGAATGTTTATAATGCTAACCATTTTCTGGCTCCCTATTCATAAGGACACTGATTTTGAATAAAGAAATTTCATGTAGAGAGATGTTTATCACAACAAAAATAACCAAATAACCAACAATAGGAAAATATTTTTAAAATACTATGGCTGAGACAGGAGGATTTCAAGTTTGAACCCAGCTTGGGCAACTAAAGAATTCAGCAAGACCCTATTTCAAAATAAATTTTTAAAAAATGTATGTATGGGGGGAAGGAAGAGAGAGAGAGGGGTAGTTCTGTATAAAAGCCCCAGGTTCAATCTCCAATACTAGAGTAATCTACTAAGAGATATATCCAGTAATCCAGTAAGAGATATATCCAGTAATCCAGTAAGACATGTATGTATCTCTTGTAAGTCATAACTCAGAATGTTATTAAAAGTGAAAGCTATAGATAATTTTAATGTAAGAAAATGATTACATAATATTAAGTTGCTAAGTTGAAAATATAGTAGTACACCACATGAGGCCTGGAGAGACAGCTCAATGACAGACCACCTGCCCAGTATATATGACAGCACATACCCAGCACTGGGGGAAAAATAAAACATGAAAGAACTATAGTAATACACTGATATGATCTAAACCATACCAAAAATAAAGGAATAAAAAATGAATACATCATTGATATCACTGGAATGTTGGGATTATGGATGGTCTTAACTTTACACTTTTTAGCATTTTTTAATGCTAATGCCTATGTTGGGCACTTACTAGGTTGTCTGCTTTGTCTTTTATACTAAGAGCTATGTCTCACCGCTCTCATTATATTATCAGTGGTCTCAAAGCCACTTGAATAACTTGACACATACACCCTTCAGGTTATTATCAACTGGACTGTTAAGAATTACTAACCCTTTGGATTTCATGCACCTCATAAAAAAAAAAAAAAAAAAAAAAAAAGAATTACTAACCCTAAATGGGCCATAAGCATTTCCTGAAATTTTGAAACTGGAAGTAGGAGATAATAAATTTCCCATAGCTGATAATATTTAAGTTTGAAAGCTATGGGATCAGTGTATTTTATTTAAAATGAGAACAAAGCAAGTGAAGCCAATCTGCAGCGAAAAAAATGAAACAGATACGTTACAGAGATGAGAGTGCCAAAAATCACAGATTTTCTAGATCCCATACCTTCTCCAGACTTGGTTACAGTCCTGTTTTACAATTTCTGAGATACTGGTTTCATTTTTTTTTTCCCCCTTTTTATTGGTACCGGGGATCGAACTCACAACTGCCTGCTTGCAAGGCAGGCCCTTATGTGGCTGAGCTAACTCCCCAGGCCCTGGTTTCATTTCTTTTGTCGTTGCTGTTGCTGTTGTTGTTTCTGAGATAAGGTCGCACTCTGTAATTAAGGCTGGCCTTGAACTTACAGCAATCCTGTTTCAGATCCCCAAGTACTGGGATTACGAGTAGGAGCACCATGCCCAGCAGTCTTCCTTTTAATTAAACTAGTTTGGTTTATCTTCTTGTAGTGACCAGTGTCAACTAACAATACCATGTGTAATACAAATATGAAAGTTAGAAAACTCCAACCTAGTAAGACCAGCTGCTAGATTTTGACCAGTTCAGGGTCACCCCAGTAGCACTGTTGTCAAGTTTGACACAATACAGCGTTAACACAAATATATGCTCTAAAACTCTGGCCCCTGGGGTTTGTCAGTTTAACAATATGAATTATATTAAACATTAAGAGTTACTCTTTGGACTTTTTTAAGGTGCAGCATCTATGAATTATAAGATCAAATGAAACATAGTATGATAAGCATCAATTTTCCTTGAAAAAGAGGCCACCCACTAAAAGAACTGTTATGAAAAAATGTCTTTTCTTTCCATATAAGCCTTTTGAAAATGTGGATGAAGAGGGTTTCTGGGAAGAATGATCCCTGTAGGTGCTCTCAATAAGTGACTTTCTGGTCCCTTTGAGAGAACTACTGTTTTCTGAGAGCTTAAAATCTCATAAGCAAGGGGCCGGGGGCTTGGCTCAGCAGCACAAGCACCTCCTTGGCAAGCGCAAAAGTCATGAGTTTGATCCCTAGTGCCAAAAAAAAAAAATTATAATGGGTTTGGTAATTATATGATTGCTTTCATAATATTCAGAGGATAAAAAATAAGATACAAGTTTTCATATTAATACAACCTCACTATCTCAGAAAAAAGACTGAAAAGTAACCTAAAAGTTCCAAAGTGGAGACTAGTCAGTAAACTAGAGAAAACTACAATAAGCAAAATCAGAAATATATCATTTTGGAGGTGAGGGGGATTTAAACTGGAAAACTACCTGTACTTCGTATCAAAAAGGATTACAGCCCTTGAACATATAAAGCATGCTTGAAAGGGAGGAGCAAGAAGAGGAGTGAGGGGAGAGGTAGGGAGGATCACAATATCTAAACAGAAAAGGAAATATAAATGAGTAAATGGGTAAATGGGTTTAGGCTGCGGAAAAGAAGTTTAACCTCATAAAGAAATAAAAACCAAGACTATATTGAGATACCAGTTTCATTCCTTAACTGGCAAAAATCAAGAAGTGTGATAACACTGCATTAGTATAGTTGTAAGGAAGTCAGTATTCATATACTGCTAATAGGAGCATAAACATATACAACCGCTATGGAGGGCAGTAGATCAGCAAACAAAACTGTAAATGTAGATATCCTTTGACCAATCAATTATATTTATATGGAATTACCCTACAAATCTCTCCAGTATGAATGAAATGTCCTCTCTTCAAGACTAATCACCACAGTACTGTTTATAATAGAAAACTAAACCTAAATGTTCACCAGTTCGTCATTTGATAAAGTGTGATTCATTCATATACCCTATACTCCACATCAAAAAGAAAAGTTTAAGATACTATGTATTACTGTGGAATGATCTCACAAGAGATATTAAATGAAAAAGACAAGGGCAGAATAATGATAGGATGCTATCATTTGAGTAACTGAAGCATTCATAGATTGCTTATACTATGTAAAATATCTAAGAATATTCTGGAAACTAGTAAAACAGTTTGAACCCAGAGAATACAGTTGGCTGGAAGGTGGAAATAAGAGAGATTTTTAAAATTTACATCTTCTTGAATTCTGAGCCACATAAATATTATTATTCTAAAACTTAAATTTTTAGAAATAAAATTTTCAAAGAACAAGATATAAATTACAGTATAGTCATATGATAGACTAATGTTTTCAAGTATACTTATAAATAGCAAAAGTCCTAGGATAAACTAAAAAGAGGGAGAAAGGAAGAGTTTGTACAGAAGTTTTTGTTTCATTGAAAAATTTTTAGAAAGGTATTTTTATATGCACAGAAATAATAGTTACTGATGCTAGGTACTGGTATTGTAGATATTTTCTTCTTTATAATCTTCTGTACTTTCCTCATTTTTTAGAGTGAGTATGTATTACTTTAATAATGCAGGGAGACCACAAAAAGAACAAATAGCTAAAATAATCCTTGTTTAATCTGTAAATAAATCATCCTTAATTGCAGCATCACTGACCCTTACCTGACCGTGACTGGTTGTTGGTTCTTCCTCCAACAAAAGTTTCTGTTTCAAGCTTTTAATTTGGTTTTCTTGGATATCCTTGGTTTCTGAGTGCCAGACAGATGCCCTAGATTCCTGCCTCTCCTCTTTGTCTTCATCTCCCATATCTTCTGAGATGCCTTCATTTTTTTCACTAGCCTGATCTCCTTGGGCACATTCATTCTGGATCAGAGAAGGAGGGCTAGGTAACACTGGTTCCCCAAACCCCCTTTTTTTAAAAAGTTGCCTCTGAGCCATTTTTAGGCTTTTTTGATAAACCTCCAACTGACAGAGAATGACCTTGGTATACTGGTTAGGGTCTACTCCAGCAGGGCAGAATGGAATACCCCAGAAGTAGTGCACAGTGTCTCCAATGTCCTGGAGGCCTTTTGTATCTGCTGGGTTAGGCAAATAGTGCCTAGATGTGTCCCCCCTACCCTGGGCAGCCTGGAGAACAACACAACCCCTCCCAGTACTTTCCTGTGGCTTCCCACACTGTGTGTGCTCAGCCAAGTGGCCAGTACATCTGTCAAAACATTTAACGTTCTCATTCTCAGACACTGGCTGGTTTGACTGGTCCCAGCTTCCTGAGCTGCCAGAGACCGGCTCCTCTTCAGTGTTTTCAGTGTGGTCCCAAGGATCCTCTCTTTCCTCAGCCTCGTTTCCCTGACTGACATGTGAGCCTTTAAACAGTGATGGAGGTACCAGCTGCCATATGCCTGTAGATATTTGAGAAAAAGTAGGGCTAAGGACAAACTTTTTTATTAAGAGGGGTTGGTAAGCTATCACTTACCAAGAATTATAAAATGTGCCTAAGAAAGTTTCTTCTTTGGGTTTAACCAAAGGTTGTTTTTCCTTGGAGATAAAAGTATGCTGGATATTGTGAGATCTCAACTACTTTCTCTTTGAACCTCTTTAATATCACCAAAGGGATTTGGGGTATTTCTGCATATCTATTCTCAGCATGAGATTCTATGATATGGTTATACTTGATGAATGGAAGAAGTCACAACAGGGAGACATGCCTTCAGTGGTCCCAGAGTCTGTGGTTTTCTCTTGGTGGGACTGTGAAGATGGTCCAATGGCCAGAGGGCGAGTTCTGGTAGCAGAAGCATCAGAAGGCCGGCAACTCTGAAACAAGTGATCCCACACCAGACCAGGTTTATTATTAAAATAGCTATACATGAAGAGTCAGGAAGAACAACAACGGGAGGCCGCTGTCCCTAGGAGTTCCTCCTTCTCAAAAATAAAGATGTTCAATTCAAATAAATTCCTTAACATGTACTGAATGTTTATGTGCAAAATGCTGTATTGATCAGTATACTACACTCTTTTCTAATATAGAGAGATGAACAGCATAAAGGATGGCTCAGACTGTACTGCTTAAACACACAAGACCAACCACAGCCAAGGCAACACTGCAAGATTTCCATCTCTAAAACCAAGAATCAAAGATGGCTCAAAACCTGCACTTGTATTATTAACATAGAAAATAATTTCAGTTACATGCATTCAAATCACAATTGAACATTATTTGATTGTTTTTAAAGCTGCCCATTCTTTTTCTCATTTCTTTGCTCTCTCCACAGAACAGGAGGTAAACAAGTTATCTTGCTTCCTTTAGGATTCTTGGTACTCTGCAAGTCTTTTCAGAAGCAGTCAGCTTACTATAATTCTTTTAACTTATGTATTGAAAATATCTGTGGGGTAGAAGAAAACTCTTTCATATGCTAACAAAACACTTCAAACTAGGTTAGCCAATAATTCAACATAGACTTTAAAAATTAATATGGTAAATATTTAATTGAAAACTGTAAACTACCATAACTAGTTCCTAATGCAGCCATAACACTGTAGAAAGCAAAGAACGAACATTGCTAATAAAACTCACAATTTGTTTCAACATAATATATTTACATTCAGGCTTTCAGCAATGGCTTTCCTCAAGAGCTCCTCTTCTTCCTCTTCCTGGTTATTCATCTCCTTAGCTTCCTGCTCACTCATTTTGAGAGCCAAGGCAAACTGTTCTTCTTCTGTCATCTCTATAAAAAGACAGAGAAAAAGAGAGGGAAAGATACCACCAACAGCTAATTAGTATATAAGCAAAAAACAAAATTATTAAACTTTTCACCTGAAGACACTGTACATCACTTAGCACAGTTTTGTAAACTAATAAATGAAGAAAGCCTCAAATGGTAATTTATTGGTCAAGGTCATCAGTAGCTGTTATATTAAGAACTCTGGGTTAACTAAACTATTAGCTCTCATGAAGGCACAGTTCTTATTTGTATCCTTCATTGTTGCACTTCCAATACAAAAGAGTACCTGGCACAAGACAGACAATATTTGGTGAATAAATAAATAGAGAAACCACTCCACAGGTTTTTTGCTAAATAGCACAATGCTGTGTTTTCAACTTTTAACCATGTGGTTTTATTCTTCAGAACACACTGGTTTGTAGAACAATAAAGAACATTCCTAGTAACCATAATGTGATTTTCAAACACCGTTTTCCATTAAAAGCAAATGCAACATATTGAAAAAATGGATGATTCCAAATTTGGAACATGAAAGGTACAAGATGAGCTAGAGTATCTATCAAAGCTGTGAGCAAGGAATCTGTCAGACACTATTAGGGTCATACCAAAAGAACTCAGAAGCCGATTTAAAAAACAAAACAAAGCAAAAACTACACTTTTCCTGGCCAAAAATGGAGCTGGAGCTTCAATAAGGACAATGAACATAATGGGCCAAAAGACAATAAATAACCAGATATGGCAGCACACGCTTATAATCCCAGCACTTGGGAAGTTGAGGCAGAAGAATCACAAGTTTAAGGCCAGCCTGAGCTACTTACCAAGATCCTATATAGAAATTAAAAACAGCTAGCTAGCTAGCTGAGGATGTAGTTCAGGACAAAGGTCCTAGGTTCAATCTCCAGTGTGCATGTGTATGGGAGAGAGAGTACACATCAAATATATCCCTAGCTACTCAATCAGTACCTTATATGTAATGGGAACACAATAGACATATATATATATACACACACAAAATGAACGGAAAATTGAGTAAGAGTCTCTTGGTTGGAGTAGGAAGTGAGAGTTCCAGAGCAGTTTATAAAATCTAGAGCTGAAATCCAATTAAAGAGCCAGTAGCCCCACTATTTCTATCAGAGGTCTACATAGTGGAACACTTGGTAGATTTTTGCCTTCAAAGGGTCAATTTTTGTCCCGAGGATGATATCATCACCATTCTGAATGCATAATCCAAGTTGACATATTATTCATATAAAATCACTCACAATATTCCTTTATTATCCCTTAGATGACTATAGAGTCAGATGTGTTATTCCTTCTTTTAAATCCTGATACTGCTAATTTGTGTACTTGTTTTTTTAGAGATATATTACTGACCTTTACATAGAATAAATTTTTGAGACTTTTTTCCACCTACTGTATGCTCATTTTTTTATTTCATCGATTTTTCCTCTGTATTTCTTCCTTCCACTTACATTTGGTATTTTCCTCTTTATATTTCAGTTTGTTAAGGTGGAAAGCTGGAATCACTTTTCATATTAGAGCACATAAAGCTACAAATTGCCCTCTAAATACTGCCTTGGTTGTAGCCAACAAATTTTACTATGTTTGTACTTTTGTGAAGGTCATTTCAAATTCAGTTTGGTCCATTTTTTTGCTTGGATTCAAATTTAGGGATCCTATCCTTGTTAATTTTGTGTTACTTTTTAAATATGTTTAATATTTACATTTCAGTTCCTAGAGCAGTGATGGTGAACTTTTTAGAGCTTTCAAAAGTAACGAACAGCTGGCTGCACATGTGTGCCACAGGTTTGCCGCCACCACTGGTCCTACGGCAAGCCATTAAGTCTCTTGCATTGAGATTTTCAAATGTTTTTCCCGTTCCTGGAACCCTCTTCATACTTATAACTGGCTAATTTTTATTTTCCTTTCAGAGTTCAACTGAAAAATCATCTCCAAATTACAGATTTCTTCAACTTTCAGATAAGGTCAGTTTCAAAGGGGTTTGTTTTGTTTTTATCTGCTATTGGACAGTAGGGGCTGAACCCAGGATCTTTGTACTGAGCTATATCCTCAGCCTACTTTTTAAATTTTTCCCTTGGAGACACAGTCTCATTATGTTATTGAATTGCCCAGCTGGACTTAAATTTGTGACCCTTTTGATTCAGCCTCCCAGAGTGTTGGATTACAGGCACATGCCACTGCTGAATCTGAAACTGAGATAGGGCCCAGCCCAAATCTCTTAAGGAGCCCAGCAGCCGTGATGCTCCCTGACTCTTGTGAATCAGTCTTACCTTCTACCTTATTACTGTATTGTGAATAAATCCTGGCTCAACAGTTTTCATTTAAGTACGTTCTCTATGGTCTTCTGAGGTCCTAACATTATCTTATTGTAGTTTCACCGCTTTTGTCGGCCATATCCATGGTAACTTCTGTTAGTCTTATTCTTTTGCTCTGATAGTTCTCTGCACTGTTCTCCTCAGCCTTTACCCAAGTTACCTCTCCTCTGAATTACTTCTACTTAGCTTTGGAAATACTTTTCCTATGAATCTTTTCACTCTCCATAAGCCTACCTCCTAAGAGTTCCAACCTACTCTTGCTGCATAACACCTATCACACTGTATTTTAATTTCCAGTTTTAAGAATTCCCATTTATCTGCAAACAAGTTATATAATAGTAACATCATCAGTCAAAACTATATCAGTTGCAAGTATCATAAAAAGGGCTCAAAATAATGCTGTGTATATATACCCATATGTGTTTATCTGTATGTATGTACATACACACATAGTTAATTTTAGAGCCTCACATTTCTAATAAGAGTCCAAAATTGGTTTTCACTTTAAGCACAGCTGGTACAAACAGAGTTGGTTTTATGCAACTGCAGTCCCAGCTGCTCAGGAGGCTGAGGCAGGAGAATTAAAAATTTGAAGCTTGCCTAGACAACATAAATAAAATACTGAAAGACTGTCTCAAAAAAAGAGTATGCCCTTAACATATAACCCTATCTCATTCACTGCTTCTTTATCACATTTGGCTTTAACTTCTTGACTATAGGTTTAATTCTTAAGCATTTTCTTTTTACCTGGTGACAAAATGGTCCACAACAGTTCTAGGGAACAATTTTCTCTCAGGATATTTAGTAATATTGACTGGCAGTTTTGTCACAAATTATAGAGATGGGGAGTGCGCTTCACATTTAGCATTGTACTAACCTCGTAGGCCAATAATTTTTGTCTTATGAAGTTGGGTGCAACAATATTCATGCGTAGATATTTATAATTGTTCGTTCTTCCTGTTAAGGTGTTCTCTTTCTAGTATGTAGAGGCCATCTTTCTCTCTTCTGATCAATTTTGGCTTGAAGTTTGCTATGTCTGAAAATAAGATAGCTGTTCCTGCTTGTTTTGGTTCGAACTGAATGCAGTATCATTTTTTCTTTTACTTTCAGTCTCTGTACTTCATTTTGGATCAAATGTGTCTCCTGTAGGCAAGATATGGCTATTTTTTTTTCATTCAAACTGCTAGACTATGTCTTTTGATTAGGGATTTGAGACCACTGACGTGGACAATTATTATTGTATTATTATAATGAATCCTTTTTATTATTGCATTATTTTCTCAGTCCTAATTCCTTGATTTTTTTTCCTTTTAACTACTCTCCCAATTATACGCATACTTTATTTGGGCTCTCTGGTGCTGGTGACCGCCCTATCTCTGTCTAGGATTCTCTTAAATATTTTCCACAATGATTTAGTGGGCATGTATTCAATTCGAATTTCTTTGTGGAAATAAAACTACCAAACTTTTTAAAGAAGCTAAAGATGTGAATAAATATTTCACAAACACATAAAAAAGTTTTCATTAGTTATTGGGAAAATACAAATTAAAATCAGAAAGACGTAGTTTTTCACTAGCAGAACAGATAAAATGAAAACAACTGACAACATCAAATTTGGAAGTCCTTTCAAAACCTCATACACTCAAGAGGCTTGTAGGTGACTGGATTACAGGGGCACTGCAGCTGACTACGTGCTGAGAGTGTTGAGAAGTGACACCTAGCCAGAAGAGACAGGTCACTAGCATATGACTTGAAAAGCACTTATCTCCTTTTCTAGCTCTTTCCTTCACTGTCTGCTTCCTGGGTGACATGAGCTGAGCAACTATTCCTCTGTCATGCCCTGCCCCCATGCCATCCTGCCTTGGAGCCAGCCACCACAGACTGAAAAAGAGCCCAAATAAACCACTTTTCCTATAAATTATGGGTATTGGGTATTGTCTCCCAGAGATAAGGAAACTAAGACTTGAAAGCAGTAATGGTGAACCTTTCAGAGCTTTCAATGATACAAACAGCCCACTACTGCACGTATACCACAGATGGGTCACCACTGCTCTAAAGCATCATTTTAAAACAAAGATAGTTAGGGGCCGGGAATACAGCTCAGCTGTACAAGTGCCTATATGGCAAGTGCAAGATCCTGAGTTCAATTCCTGATAATGAAATAAAATTAAAAACAAGGATGGTTATATAGTATGCAGCTGAGAATACCCATAATATTTAAGTATTATTTGAAGATGGTCGAAGGTGATTCAACATGTATAATGATTCTGAATTGGTGGTGGTTTCTGCAGTATAATTCCACGTAAAGTCCCTAAAGATTGCCATAAATGAAGTCGTTGTTATTTATGTACTATTTGTTATACTGGAATTAAAAAGCAAAATATATAACTTGTTAAAAAAAAATATCTGGGCATAGTGGTATATGTCTGGAATCTCAGTACTTGGCTGAAGTAAGAGGATCACTATGTGTTTGAGGCTAGTGAGTCCAAGGTCAACCTGAACTACCTATGGAGACTCTGTCTCAAAAAATACACAAATAAATAAATTTATTTTTAAAAATAAATGATGCTCTCATTTCCATTAAATAAACAGACAAGATAGTAAGCTTTTTTTTGGAGGATTAGAAACATAGGTACTGAGTTACAGCTGGAAGAAGCAATGTGAATT